TCTTAAAGTACTATTCAATCAATTGTCAAGCCTCTGTTTTCAGTACTTCGAAGAAAAGCTGGTCTTGCTACGACTACTCCGTTGCCCTTGTTATTTCTCAAACTTCCCTTTTCGATTCAGAATGCTTTTTATCGCTTTCTTTCTTCCCATATAGCATCTTGGCAAAAAATTTTCACTCATCCTGATTTCAAAGATTTTGCCCTTTATGCTATCTCCTATCTTCAAGGATATTTGGGTGCTGAAAGTTGCCCGACTACTATTAACTTAGAACCATGGTCACAGATCATTTCTTTGCGAACGCACACTTTGTTTAATTCGCTATTGTTTTCTTCGCGTTTGAATATCACGTGGTCTCTTTCCTTCCGACCTCCGAGGCATGATCTACAACCTGCTTTGCCACTTCGATCTATTCTACCTCATTCCATTTTTCGATCGAGTTGGAAACTTTGGAAAAACTTGAATATATTTGTGCTTGCTCAATTGGTTTCTCCTTGTGTACGTTATCTTATGAATTGGCCTGACCTTCGTTATCTTGGTATCGTTGGTCGTAAAGGACGGATCCCTAATTGGTTTACCTTTATTAATAATAATTTTCTTTCTTCTTTCTCTTCTACTTTACTTTTACCTTCATATTTTATTAATTCTTCTCTTACTTTAGCTTCTCCTTGTTTATTAGATCATACTGTTAAAGATTATTCTTTTTATCCTCAATGGGCTATTAATTTTGACTCTGCTACTCAAACTTTATCTGTTGGTCGTGTGTGTATCACTTATAAGAAACAAAACTCGGCTATTATGTCTCATTGGCTTCCTGTATCTACGTCGGCTGATGAACGATCCTATGACCCTTGTCCCGGTTGTGCTCTTAACATTCCCGCCTTATCCATGAAATCTGCCATCAGACAACGCTGTAATAGTGAGAAATGTTTTTTTAATGTAACTCTATCGGATACTGTGGGCTATCCTACCAGAAATGCCAAAGTTTTCGCGGCCTACCTTCCCATTACTCTATCTACTTCATGGAGTTATGCCACTTCCTTGGCTCTTGTTCATCTTTCGAACGCGTCTCCTGCTCTTTCTCCTTCCTTTAAGGACAGAATCGAAGATAATATCTTGCCGCTTTCTGTGCAATCTTTGTACACAGATGGTTCGTTCCATCCTACCAATGATTCTTCGCCTTCTTCCATGACTTCTGCTTGGATTGCTCTCGATGATGATGGATTTGTCCTAGAATCTTCCTCTATGCATCTCCCTTCCTACTTCCCTTCAGCTTTGCGTTCTGAAATTTCTGCTGTTTTATTAGGATTGAGCGCCCTTTCCCGTGATTCTTCAATCTCTATTCATACTGATTGTAGTCAATTAATTTCACTATGGACACGGTTTGTTGATGCTCCTTTCTCACCGAAGCTGCTCCGAGAACCTAATCATTTTCTTTGGCTTTCTATTCGACAACTTATCATGGACCGCAATCTTAATGTCGATTTGATTAAAGTCCCTGCTCATAGCGATGATATTTATAATATCCAAGCGGATTCTCTGGCAAAAGATGCTCATTCGTCTTCACAACCCATTGCTCTACCTTCAGCATTTTGTTATGCTCCATGCTTGTTGACTTTTAACTCCTTGCCTATTGACGTGAATATTCGTCATTTTCTCCGCTCTATAGCAGATGCTCGTGCTTTTCTATCTTTCTGTTCACTAGCGCGTTTTACTGCTCTTGGTTCTCCTTCACTTTTTGATTGGGCTGGTATATATTTTTGCCTTTCACAAATTAAAGGTTTTGCTTCACATAGGAATGGTCGTCCTGAATTTTGGATCTTCCGCATTAAACTTCTTTTGGATATGTTGCCTACCTTAACTACTCTTCAACAACGCAAACCTTACTTATATTTTCCTGACTGGCTCTGTCCGCAGTGTAATTCTGCTCCTGAAGATTTGAATCATCTTTGGACATGTCCTTATATTTTACCGGATTTAAATCCCTGTTTAACACACCGCTCTGCAGTCATTAAATTTAGAGATTCTTGTTTATCTTCTCTCCTATCCTTGAAATCTTTGGATATTTCCTTTCATACCGAATTCTTTGCTTTGGATTGTTGGAACTATGAAACTCCTTCTCCATCCTGTCTTTGGCTCACTAGAGGATTGTTGCCTGCGCATTTAACGGCATTTTTGAATCAACACTTTCCTCTCTCTGTTATATACAAGATCATTTCTCCCCTTCTTAATGACTTCCAAGTCGAATTATATGGTGAAATTTGGCTGTGTCGGAATGTTCTTTTCCATGCTTGGGAAGAGTCGCAGGGTATCTCGGCTGCTTCCAAATTACATGGCCCATCTACAAATTCTTCTCCTATTGCTACTTCTCCACACCAACACAGCTCTCCTTTGGCGTCAGTCTCTCAGGATTCCTGGATTTCTTGGATATCCTCTTCTATAATTCGGGGTGGATCATGGATCTCGCACTTGGATTTTCTGCGCCGCTTAACAGTTCAACCTCTTAGGATTTTTTTCTGGTAACGGACTGGATTTTTGGATGTTGGATAGTTGACTCACACTGGCCTTCGGGTAAAGTTGGGGTATGCGATTCTGTAATAGTTTAGTTTTTCTTTGCTTTAATTTTATTTTAGTTCAGATTTCTTTACTTGTATGAGTCGTGAAGCTACTCTTTTTATTTTTTATTAGTTTATTTTCTTATTTTTGTAATATTGTTCGATCATACCTTCGATATTGAAATATAAATAAAAGATAAAGTCATAAGACTGTTTGCACAGGAAAAGGATAAAACTACCACCATTCGATTCGTCTCAGTGAGATTATTCTAACAAGTTATGATACATCTTTGTATTATTATTATATGCCAAGTTATTTAATATATTCTTTATATAACTGTGATTATAAACGGTTCTTTTTAATATAAGATTTTTGAGGATAGGTGTGATAGTGACTATAGATAGATTGTGACTATATAGGATAGTTTTTAATAATAAAGTGTTTTGAAGATTCAACTGGTGTGACTATATAGTAGAATGTGACTATAACGGGAGTGACTATAGAGGGAGTTGACTGTATTAAAGATACTACCTGAAATTTAATAATTTCTAAAACTATCAAAACTGAAACTTTGTAAAACTATTTCTGAAATTTTTTTATTTGGTAAAATTGGTAAAACTATCTGAAACTGGTAAAACTAATCTGAAACTAGTAAAGTTAATCCAAAACTAGTAAAACTAATCTGAAACTAATAAAACCAATCTGAAATTAGTAAAATTTAGGGTTTGATCAGTTTCAATAATTACCATTTACCATATAAGAACATTTGCAAAAAATATTTTTTTATATAAAAATCACTTAATAAAAATGTTCTTCCAATATTTCTATTAAAAGTTTAAAATAAGTAAAAAGTATTTCAAACCTGTTTTTTATTAATAAATTCATATAAAAATATTTTTCGCAATATTTTTCAATTGTTTTAATAAAAAATATTGCAAAAACATTTTTTATTAATAAATTCAATGTAAAAAATATTTTTCATAATATTTTTTCAATTGTTTTAATAGAAAACGTTGCAAAAACATTTTTTATTAATAAATTTAATATAAAAATATTTTTCACTTTTATTAAGTAGTTTAATAGAAAAAATATTTTGCAATATTTTTTGAATATTTTAATAGATAACATTTACGAAAATGTTCATTTGTTAATATTTTTATAAAAAAACATTTTTGTCATGTTTTATTAAAAAAATATTGCAAAAATGTTAAAAACTGGTTTATTTCTTCAGTATGGGAGTTTCAGATTAATTTTGGAAATTTGAATTAGTTTTGGGAGTTTTGGAATAGTTTCAGAGTTTTAAGTAAATTGCAGTTTTTAGTTTTAATTTTAGTTTTAGTTTTGGAAATCAAAAAATAGTTTCAGGCAGCATCTTTACTATATATATATTTTTGAATGCTAACTGATGATTATTTGTAATATTTTCTAATTTATCATATAAAGTTTGATATGTTAAACAAACTTTCATATTTACTAAAGTATTTATACAAGTTACCAATACGCCTGAATAATTAAAAATAATCCAATTGCTATTTTGGTATCACTAATTTGTTTGTTTTGCATTGCTGCAATTTGATAATAAAGCAGTATTATCTTTTGCTTTAATAATTATTGTATTTTGTGAATTTTTACTTTAAAGATTCATGGATTGAAAAATCATATTAAAAAATCCTTTAACTTGTATATTATGATTTTTAATCAATTTTCAAATTCCATTACATTCCATATAAGCAAATTTTTTGCATAAAATATCTATATAAAATGTTTGTAAATTGCAATCTATTCAATTTAATCTGAAAGAAACTCTAAAAAATCATTCAATTTTAATTTAAATTAAACAATAATACTGTATTAAACAAAAATTAAATCAATTTGAATTTAAAAAAAAGTAAAATTACCTTGTTTTTTTACTTTTTCCATTTAATTTAATTGAAATTCTAAGTCTTTTATTTGATGTATAGTAAGTTTATTATATACTTTTTGTGATAAAGCCCTATAAAAAGTATTATACTTAAAATATACTTAAAATATATTTAAAATATACTTAATTTATTAAAAATTGCAAAATACTTATAATATATTTTTAATATATCTAAAATATACTTAAAATTATCTTAAAATATATGTCTAATATATTTAATTTTTGCCCATATACTTAAAATATATTTAAATTATATTTAAATTAAAATTTAAGTATATTATAAGATTATTATAAGTATATTTTTTACATACTTAAAATATACTTAAAATATATTATGAAATATATTATAAGAATATTTTAAGTATATAAAAAATATATCTATAATATACTTAAATTTTAATTTAAGGGATAAATCGTCACTCATTAGGATAAAATGATCGGCAATCTATAATTAATTTTACGGGCTTTGTATTAATAAAAAAACCGTTTTTTGGAATGTTCCGTTCTTTATATTAAAATTTTTCTAATGAGTAAAAAAAAACAGTATACAATAACTCTTCTAGCCAAGGGAGATATTATACAAGACTTACATTATGGTATTCATGCACGATATTGGTGGAAACCACGCAAATTTGACCAAACTAGCGAAACTAGCGTTAAGTCTAATCAAATCTGCATTAAAGCAATACCCTATCGAATGTTTATGTTTATTAATTGCTGTTTAAATGATGAGAACTTTGCAATAACAATTCTTGATAATAAACAAACACACAAGCTAAGTTTTCGTTGTCTTTGTAATGGCAAAGATTCTGGAATTCAACAATCGGCTTCTGCAGCTATTAACAACACGTATAAACAAGTTTTTAGAAAGAATAAGACAGAGTATTCGGGAATGGTTGTTATGGGATTTGATGATGAAATAATTATTAATGAATTATTGTCTGATATTTTATTTATTCCAATTTTTATTCGTATAGATCGAATTTTAATTGTGGTTAGTCAAATTGGTATTTCATCTCATAAAGGTTGTTACGGTGCTGGTCCAGGATTTCTTTCTACACTTATAATAAAATATAAGGGCAAACAATCACTTTTTGTATAATCTATAGAAGATAATTGTAATTTAGATGTTTATGATGGCGATATTAATCAATACCATAACGAAGGAATTACTCCTGACGAAATTTGGAAGTCTATTAATATTCTTAACAAGTTTGACGGGGCAGCTTTATTTGGAATTACCAATTCATATGTTCAACAAGAATTGGACAAGTTAAGAAATAATTCAATCACATGTACGAGCAATGATTGGAATGATATTGATAAGTTGAATATTATATTTAGACAACAAATAAAAACTCGTAAAATTGCCAGTCCATTTTCAGATTGGTCAAAATTATTTAAGAATTGGTACGAACAAAATAATACAATAATTCAATTTCCTAATATTTTATTTCAAATCTATTCAGCTAATTATCAGTTTCAAGAAAAAGAATTAGGTGCATGGCGAGCAATGTTTCGTGCCTCTGGTTGTATTAATATTACTCCATTTACAAAAAAACAACATATGATCGAATTTTGGACAAAAGCACCAGATCCTTTATCTGATAGAGACAATTTAGCAAATCTTTATAAATCAGGAATGTTATTGTTGGTAGAAAAGAAATCTTCTTTTCAGCCTGATAGTGAAGGTGAAATACTTTGGAAAAGTCTGCAAGAAGCTTTAAAGGCAAATAAAAGAGGGTCGTCGGGCTGGTAGTGTAGTCACTACGTTCCTCCACCTCGGCCACGGCCTCGCAGTACCTACATCCCCCCTCCGTGGGGCAGGTTTACCTGCCACAGTACCATGGTCTGCCACGGTATTTTTCCACTTATTTTTTTTTC